TAACAGGACACAACAGAGTCATCAGCATAGAGAATGATATAACAGTCACTTAGTATCATCTTTACAAAGATTAAACATAAAGGGCCCCAGGATAGAGCCCTGTCGAACACCTTTAAAAAAGACAGAGCAAAAGCAATTGGCTCTTGAAGAACCTTATGTCCTAAAATAATGAACATCAATTCAACAAAATAAGTAACCATTTCCCCCCCATTATGTTTATATGTGTTGTATTTCAACATCAGTTTTGACAGAGCGAGTGCCGGATATATAATGCTTGAGTATATGTTACTACCATAGAAAGTTCCTATGAAGAAATATTGTTCAACTGTTCGTAAAGCATCGGCTTCAAACAGTTTGAGAAGATGATCAAATCAACATTCACTGAAAACAAGTCACTTTTTGATATCCTCATTGTTTCTGGTCCCTCTGGGTTTGAATGGATGTTTGATTCTGTGGAGCACGTTAAAGTTAGAATGGGATGTTAGGTTGCCATTTCAAACTTTAGAGCGACCAAGAAGCTAAGAGTTCTTCATCATTGCCTTAGTGGGAGGAGTTAGGAAATGTTGACCTCTCAGGAGTTCAACAGGTTTACCCGCTTCACACCAGACACTAACTGAACACAATGTTAATGAATGGGAACTCTAACCAGAACACAGAGAACACCACTCCCCAGAATACATACTCATACAAGCTACATTGTTGAAAGCAATAATAAAATAAGTCACCTGTCCCTCTGGGTTTGAATGCATTTTTAATTTTGAGTAGCAGGTTTAAGTTATATTGGGATGTGTGTAGATGTGTGTGAACGTTAGGCTATGAGCAGGTGTATGACAGCCTCTGCCTCTATGAATGTGTGTGAATGTAAAAGCGCTTTGATGGGTCGTAAAGACTGGAAGAGCGCTGTATAAATCCAGATAATTTAGAATTCAACTGGACACAGGTAGGCAGAGTTGGAAACATAATGACCCCAGAAGCCTGGGACAAGAGGCTCAGTGAATGTGGTGTGAAAGGTGTACAGGTGACTCAGTGTGTGGCCGGAGACTCCGTAGTAGGACAAAGTGCCAGCAGGCCAGTCCAGATACACCCCGATTCTATTGAAGTCCCCAAGGGGTGCTTCCCACATTTTCTTACTGCTGGCATGGAATGCCCTAAGAAGGTGTGCGTTTGCATTCAATTCTTTGCCAAAACACCAGGATTCTGAATTATTGCCGAACCTGCTCAGATCTTTGCTATGTCTGTCAGCTCCCTTGTATGCAACAGCACCAAAAACATACTCATAGGTAGTGGTACTCAACTCTACCTCCCAGTAATGGCACCCAGATAACTCCTCTTTGCACAACACCTGTGGGTGTGTTCCAAACCTCTCTGGGTTAGGAGGATAATACTGCGATGCTCCATATGTTGCCTTTTTGTTTCCCTCAGACAGAGTGAGACGGTTGTTGGCAGTGTTTGGGTCCAGGTTGAGATCACAGGCATCTGATGGAGAAAACATAACAAAATATCTTATCAGTAACTTTGATGGTCAAACTGCTGAGAATTCACATTTTTAACTAAAAAAGCCTGACTTACACCAGATCAGATCTCTCTTGTCTGTGATGGTCTCCACAGGAGGAGGCTTTTGACGTTGAAAGTCTTCAGTGACCAGCCGGCCTTTCCTGTAGTGGTAGATGGTTGCTCCTTTGTAGTTTTCATTGGTTTTGGCCGTTATGAGGAAACGGAATTTGCTGTTGTTCTTCAGCCCTTTGGAAGAACCCTGGAACATTTTGGCTTTTTCTCTCATTGTGTCCAGAACTTCATCGGAGTAGTACCACGGGTCTTCATGGGTACTTCCTAACTTGGTTGATTTCAAGAAGTCAGCCATCTCATCAAGGTAGATATCACCCTTTGGCATGGAGGTGAAAACAAAGCACAGAACATCCTCTACACCTGAAGCAAGGACCTCTCTGTCCAGCTCGTTCTGGTTCAGGACGATCTTTACTCCCTCCATGGTGTCGACACAGGACTTGATGATGTTGATTTCTCTCTCTTTGTTTTCCAGCCACTTGTTTAGTTTTTCATGGTTGAAGGGTGACTTGTACCTGTCTTCAAAGACTTCTTCCAGTGAGCTCTCCTCTTCCTTTCCTTCACGGATGGAGGGAATTTTCTCTGCCATGGCTTGCTGGAGGCTGGTTTTATAAATAACCACACAGTTTGTGGAAAGTGCTTAGGTCTTTTCGGATCTGTGGGAAGTCCTCTCCCACTTTGTCTCCCAGAGAATCGTTGCATCTCATTCTTATTTCCTTTAAATCTTCCAGAGCTTCCTGCACCTTGATAACTAGTCCGATGCTGATCTTCTCATCAGCTCAGGAGCTTTGGGATCAAAACTCTTCAGAGGCATCAGCCAGACCTTCAATGGGACTGAATTCTCTCCATTTGTTCCCAGTAGCTTTGGAAGTTCTACATAGGTCTGCACTGCATCTTTAAATGTTGCTGGGTTGCTTTTAAGAATGAAGTCTCCGTAGAATTCGCAGGAGAATTTCTCAGTCAGGGCTTTCTCTTCATCAGTCAGCTTGGTGCCAACACTTCCCTCAAAATGTAAAGAAGGAATCTTCTTTATCACAGCTTGCATGCTGCCCTGGATGTCCTGAACCTGGCTGGCTTCTAACTTCTCACTGTCAAACACAAAGAAAGCATCTGCCCCATACAGGATGCCTGTGACTACATGTGTGGCCAAGCCCTTCTGAATAACCTCCATCTATTCGGTGTCCAGGGTCACATGATCAATTAACAACTGCTTGAAGTTGGTGGTAGCTTTGTACTGACAGGTCACTCTGCTCTGATTCTGGAATTCCTTGTCATCATTCAGATACTTGGCAGATCCTCCAACTTCTATCAGTCCACTCAGAAAACTGGCCTTCAGAGACGCTTCAATGTCCATCAGAGAGGACTTGGATTCAATTGAGTCAGATGCAGACATTTCAAAATAACTGCTGTGCTGAGGGGTATCAGTTGTTTTTTCTTCTAGTGTTTTATCATTCCACAATCTGGGACCTGAAAGAATTGGAAAGCAAACAGTTTTCGGATCAGTTCAGGGCGAAACCTTTGTTTATATAAATCATCTAAACCTGATCTAACCTAAAGTGATTTCCTTTGTTCAGTTCTGAGATTAAAGACTTTCTGAGAACAAATATATAATTGTACATTTTTTCATTTAATTGAACTTTTTTTCTGAAAATCTGCCAATTCTGACGCTTGTAATGCTGGCTTTGACCACAGGAACTAAAATAATATATAATTCGTCTTCTGTACTCTAGCATTCTGTAAATTCTGAATTCAGGATTTAATATCACAATTTTGACTTTTCTTCAGAATTCTGGCTTTATTCTCAGTGAGCCAGAAAGGCATTGCTGTCCCTGGGCACATGCTAACACACTAACGACTTGTGGTGTTCATATTTTTGTTTCTCACCCATTGTTCGTGGGTCTGGTGGACCCGCTGCCTTTTTGGGCTTCAATTCAACATAATCAAACTCCAGATAGCCGTCAGGCGTAGTGGCGTCGTTGAGTCGGCGGTAATCCCCGCACGGGCGGAACCCCGCCGTTCGGTTTGGGGACGACGTGCAGGGGGGAAGCCCAAAGACTGTCGGAGCGGCGGACAATGCCCAGGCGCTCCATGGTTGCGAACTCCGCCCCCGCCACAGACAGCTTAGAAGGGTTCAACCGCCGGGCCCTGGCGTAGACAGGAGGCCCCTCGGTAGTGACGTGGTGCTCCACGCCATGCTTAGTGGTAAGCGCAGAGAAGGTGGGCAGCGCCAGGTCTGGAAACTCGGCCAACAGTCTGAGAAACGTGTCTGCCCCCGACAGCGAGCCCGACAGCCCGTCGTACGCTGCGCTGCCAAGTGTGCACACGAGGGAAGAAAACGTTAAGGCATCAACCAAAAGCTTATTGTTAACGTCCAATAAGAGTCCATGAGCACACAAAAAATCCGCTCCGAGGAGGGGAAAAGAAATGTCCGCTGTCACAAAATCCCAGCTGAAACGCTGTCCTCCGATGCACAAACACATAGGCCTCACGCCGTACGTGCGAATGGGACCGCCGTTAGCCGTCGTCAATTGCGGTCCGTGCCCACCACGGGTGACATCTTCGCTCGACGCTGGAACCACGCTCCGTTGAGCGCCCGTGTCACACAGAAACAGGCCCCCCGGAACGCTGTCGCTGACGAAGAGGAGCCTGCCCGTGCCGCCAACGCTCAGGGCCAATACTGAGCGCCGGCCCCCCCGTTTCCCGGGGGTTTGTAGCTGCACGGAGCGATGCATTTCTTAGCCATTGTCCCGAAACGTGCGTGGTAAAAGCACTCTCCAGTGTCTCCACGCCGGCTTGAAACTGCCGTGTCCGACCCCCACCATGCTCTCTTGCCTGCAGATGGGCCACTGAGCGTCGCGGCTAACGTCTCTCTACCGGGCTGTTGTGTAGCCAGGAAAAAACGATCCGCTTCATCAGCCAAGGCACGGGGCTCCGTGACAGGTGTGTTGGCCAGCACCGTCTGGACCCGGGAAGGTAAGTGACGCAGGAAAATCTCCGTGAATAAAATCCGGGGACCTAGCAGATTTAGCATTTTCTCCATTAGCCGAGATGGCTTGCTGTCTCCTAGGCCTTGAATGTCAAGTATCTGGCGGGCCCTCTCCTTAGCAGATAAGCTACATTTCCTAAGGATAAGAGCCTTAATCGCCTCATATTTGCCATGGTGTGGGGGGTCTGTGATAAAAACAACCAACCAAAACTCAAAATGTCCCCGGTTTTAATTGTGAAAATCTGGTCACCTTACTGTAGCTGCCACTCGCCTTCCGTGGCAAATGCTGCTATTTAAACCCGTATTTATCGTGTAAAATGTCGCTGTTTAGGCATGTCTTTATCGAACTGATCTGTACACAGGACTGATGATCTGTACACAGGGTTGGGTTGTAACGGAATACATGTAACGGCGTTACGTAATCAGAATACAAAAACCAAGTAGCCTAACTCAGCGCCATATAGAGAGATATTCTATCTATATGGCGCTGGCCTAACTGTATTCAGCTCGCGTTACATTTGAAAAACAACTAATCTGATTACAGTTACTTTCGTAAACCTGAAGTGAATACATTTTGGAATACTTATTGGAATTATTGGTGGAAAAGTTTCCTCACAAAATGTAATATTCATTACCGGCAGAACTGTCTGCACAGCGCAGCAGCATATCTGTGAGGCCCCGCCCCCGCACGCAGATGAGAGAGACATCTCTTTTTAAAATTATATTGAAAGTTAGAAACGGAGATGGTTCGATAAAACGTGCAAGATAACGTTTATGTAACATAAAATGATGACATTTCATAACGGGATAAAATCAAAGTGAATGGCCTGCTGCTGCTGAAGGCATGGGGCATATATAACTGTCCTTTGTCTTTATAAAGTAAACCTTAGCATCTCACTAGCAGTGACAACTGCAATCAGTTACAGCTGCCCTAAGTCTGTAGCCAAGTCTAATAACACCATTGTACACGTTGCTGTGTCAATACAGATATGTATTTGTTAATTATTTGTCTTTGCGAGTCATAATACACCTGGTTTATCGTAGCAAGCAGTGGAAACTCCCCTCAAGAAGCGACAATTGCCAAGGGCGTTGCAACCCTCACTCGCCAATATTTCATCATAAATATAGCAGGTTTGTTTATTTTAGCAAACCATGCTCCAAGTAAAATTCAATAGAAATGATAATGTATAATGTTTTTGAAAAATAGAGATCGCACATCAGTCCTGTGTACAGATCAGTTCGATAAAGTCATGCCTAAACAGCAACATTTTACACGATAAATACGGGTTTAAATAGCAGCATTTGCCACGGAAGGCGAGTAGCAGCTACAGTAAACCTTTTCTGGTATCTTGTGGCAACTCCCGTTGAGCAGCGGCAGATGCCTAAGCAAGTTGTGGCATCTGTGGCATCTGTGGCATATGCTGGAAGTACTTGCCACAGATGCCACGGAGTAGTGGCCTCTGTGGCAGATGCCGGAAGTACTTGCCACTGCCTGCAGATGCCACGCAATGAGCCAGGCCCTACTGTGATCTGTTTGGTATTTTTTTAAATAAAAAGTATAAATATGCCTTAAATAGGTATGGTCCTACACTATATTATTCAAATATAGCATGATAGGTTCACTTTAAATTGGCTATGCTCAAGTATGTAGGCAAGCTAATGTTGAAGTAGTGTATGTGAAATCAACCTCACAATAAGATGTGTGTATATTACAATTATTAATGTCATATTTCAAGATGATTACTTAGATATTACAATATGGTTGGTTGATCTGGAGTTCATTATTGAGCTTACACGTTAACATCACAGTCATCTGAAGAACGAACCCAAACCTTGTTGTTTTTATTAATTGCATTACGGTATCAAATAAACAGCAAGCATTGGTAACACAACTTCCAAAGTTACAGTTAGAATAAAAAGGACCCTGACTCGGACAATACACAATCCAACATGTTCAACAGAAGAGAATCAGTTATATTGTTTGTACACATGGTACTTTACATATATCTGTTTGTTTAAGGTGTCCAGGTGATGCAGACAGGCTGGACCAGAGAGTGAGAGACAGAACTGGACTCCTCACAGCAGTGAACTTCAGCTCAGGTACAAACACTCTATTTTTCATACTGTACAAAGAATCAAGAAAGATATTGGTTTAAATAAATGAAGTATTGACTTTAATAAACTGATATATATTCCATTAAACAATACTAGATCACCTACACATCAGTGAAGTCAAGCACAAAGTTACATTTAGATGTTAACAAGCAATATGATTTTGTCAGCTTTCTAATTTAATGTAT